GGATTATAAAGGTTTTAACTCTATTCCCCTATTCGGCCCCGCCCATTAGGACCCAGGGGGGCCACACCAACAGTCTATACAAATTTGGTTCCCCTTAACCCAGGAATGCTCCACACCAAATATGGACCAAATCCTTTCATACCTACAGAAGAAGAAGGATATTAAAGAATTTGTAATGTTTCCCCTATTGGGCCCGCCCCTCAGCCCACAGGGGGGCCAGACCCACCGTTTATGCAAAATCATTTTTTTTTATAAAAAGGCAGGTTTATGTCTCTCTTTGTAATGCTATATCTTCAAAACCAGTCATTGAATAAATTTGAAATTTCATATTTGCGTACTTCATTTATTCCAGATTACGAATATAACAACTTATTCTAAATCCCTGATGAGGCCAGAAATTACTCTTAACCTTTACCAACCTCCTTCCTCATTCAAGTACAAACTCACACAAACTCAAAATCTACTGCAGGGTGTGTGTCAAGATCATAACAGGTTTGTCTGAATCAGATGAATACATTTTGGAGTTCTTTTTAGTATGAGAAATTGAGGAAAGCAGTTTCAGTCACGTTTCACGCTCTTTTCCCTCATCGAAAATGTGGAATGAAGGATCCCCAGAGGCCTCCCTCATTAGAAATTTCAGAGGTAGACACATATAAAATTAGACTTTGACTTCCAAACCTGCATGAACGAACATTTGCTTACGGTTAGTCCATTCAATACAGCTTTATAATGCTATCGTTTCCTTTACGTTTAGTCCCTTCAATACAGCTTTATAATGCTATAGTTTCCCTTATGGTTAGTCCATTCAATACAGCTTTATAATGCTATAATTTCCCTTACGTTAGTCCCTTCAATACAGCTTTATAATGCTATAATTTCCCTTATGGTTAGTCCCTTCAATACAGCTTTATAATGCTATAGTTTCCCATATAGAAAATATAATATCTTACCTTCATGACGTTGACCTATGACCTCAGCAACATGCATCAAAATATTTCAACACTATGACTCAAGGGGAACTAGTGCACACAATTTGAGAAAGATCTATTAAGTACTCTCTGTAATATAGTCATCATATTCAAACTTTGACCCTGATATTCTAGATGGCCTTTTTGTACTTAAATCCTCAAACAAAATTGATGCTGCACAACTACCATCCAAGGGAAACCTTTGCACTCAATTTGAGATCAGTCCAATATATTATGAGAAATAGAGACTAACTGTTTATAGTTTGACCACAGATCAAAGACAATTTGACAATCAAGCCCACAATTTGATTATCGGTTGCCAAATATTAGATTCACTGTTACATGTGTTATTGTTAAAGACCTATATATGGTTAGTTGTAACTCAGGTGGAACCTCTTTCTAAAGTAGATGCCCTGTTACATGTGTTATTGTTTATGACCTATATATGGCGAGTTTTAACCCAGGTGGAATCTCTTTCTAAAGTAGATTCACTTTTACATGTGTTATTGTTAAAGACCTTTATATGGTGAGTTGTAACCCAGGTGGAACCTCTTTCTATAGTAGATTCACTGTTACATGTGCTATTGTTAAAGACCTATATATTGTGAATTGTAACCCAGGTGGAACCTCTTCCTAAAGTAGATTCACTGTAACATGTGTTATGGTTAAAGACCTATATATGGCGGGGTGTAACCCAGGTGGAACCTCTTTCTATAGTAGATTCACTGTTACATGTGCTATTGTTAAAGACCTATATATGGTGAGTTGTAACTCAGGTGGAGCCTCTTTCTAAAGTAGATTCCCTGTACATGTGTTATTGTGAAAGACCTATATATGGTTAGTTGTAACTCAGGTGGAACCTCTTTCTATAGTAGATTCACTGTTACATGAGTTATTGTTAAAGACCTATATATGGTTAGTTGTAACTCAGGTGGAACCTCTTTCTAAAGTGGATTCACTGTTACATGTGTTATTGTTAAAGACCTATATATGGTGAGTTGTAACTCAGGTGGAACCTCTTTCTATAGTAGATTCACTGTTACATGTGTCATTGTTAAAGACCTATATATGGCGACTTGTAACCCAGGTGGAACCTCTTCCTAAAGTAGATTCACTGTAACATGTGTTATTGTTAAAGACCTTTATATGGTGAGTTGTAACCCAGGTGGAACCTCTTTCTATAGTAGATTCACTGTTACATGTGCTATTGTTAAAGACCTATATATTGTGAATTGTAACCCAGGTGGAACCTCTTCCTAAAGTAGATTCACTGTAACATGTGTTATTGTTAAAGACCTTTATATGGTGAGTTGTAACCCAGGTGGAACCTCTTTCTAAAGTAGATTCCCTATTACATGTGGTCTTGTCAAAGACCTATATATGGCGAGTTGTAACCCAGGAGGAACCTCTTTCTAAAGTAGATTCCCTATTACATGTGGTCTTGTCAAAGACCTATATATGGCGAGTTTTAACCCAGGTGGAACCTCTTTCTAAAGTAGATCCACTGTTACATGTGTTAATGTTAAAGCCCTATATATGGTGAGTTGTAACCCAGGTGGAACCTCTTTCTATAGTAGATTCACTGTTACATGAGTTATTGTTAAAGACCTATATATTGTGAATTGTAACCCAGGTGGAACCTCTTCCTAAAGTAGATTCACTGTAACATGTGTTATGGTTAAAGACCTATATATGGTGAGTTGTACCCCAGGTGGACCCTCTTTCTAAAGTAGATTCACTTTTACATGTGTTATTGTTAAAAACCTATATATGGCGAGTTGTAACTCAGGTGGAACCTCTTTCTATAGTAGATTCACTGTTACATGAGTTATTGTTAAAGACCTATATATTGTGAATTGTAACCCAGGTGGAACCTCTTCCTAAAGTAGATTCACTGTAACATGTGTTATGGTTAAAGACCTATATATGGCGGGGTGTAACCCAGGTGGAACCTCTTTCTAAAGTAGATCCACTGTTACATGTGTTAATGTTAAAGCCCTATATATGGTGAGTTGTAACCCAGGTGGAACCTCTTCCTAAAGTAGATTCACTGTAACATGTGTTATGGTTAAAGACCTATATATGGTTAGTTGTAACTCAGGTGGAACCTCTTTCTATAGTAGATTCACTGTTACATGAGTTATTGTTAAAGACCTATATATTGTGAATTGTAACCCAGGTGGAACCTCTTTCTAAAGTTGATTCACTGTTACATGTGTTAGTGTTAAAGACCTATATATGGTGAATTGTACCCCAGGTGGACCCTCTTTCTAAAGTAGATTCACTTTTACATGTGTTATTGTTAAAAACCTATATATGGCGAGTTGTAACCCAGCAGCACTGCTCACTAAATGTTAATTTTGAGTACTTGACAAACGGGGCTTTCTCACTTTCTAATATGTCGAGAAGTCACAGCAAGAACTAAGTCTGACATGCAATATGTCACATAAGCGAAGGATATTCTCCTGAGCAAAGGACTTTCCCTGTTAATCATTATTATATAACGTTAAAGTAGCTCCTTAAAATGATTCGTGCCTTCACGGTGTACAGATGCCTTCTTAAAGACCTATATATGGCGACTTTTAACCCAGGTGGAACCTCTTTCTATAGTAGATTCACTGTTACATGTGTCATTGTTAAAGACCTATATATGGCGGGGTGTAACCCAGGTGGAACCTCTTTCTATAGTAGATTCACTGTTACATGAGTTATTGTTAAAGACCTATATATGGTGAATTGTAACCCAGGTGGAACCTCTTCCTAAAGTAGATTCACTGTAACATGTGTTATTGTTAAAGACCTTTATATGGTGAGTTGTAACCCAGGTGGAACCTCTTTCTAAAGTTGATTCACTGTTACATGTGTCATTGTTAAAGACCTATATATGGTTAGTTGTAACTCAGGTGGAACCTCTTTCTAAAGTGGATTCACTGTTACATGTGTTGTTGTTAAAGACCTATATATTGTGAATTGTAACCCAGGTGGAACCTCTTTCTATAGTAGATTCACTGTTACATGTGCTATTGTTAAAGACCTATATATTGTGAATTGTAACCCAGGTGGAACCTCTTCCTAAAGTAGATTCACTGTAACATGTGTTATGGTTAAAGACCTATATATGGCGAGATGTAACCCAGCAGCACTGCTCACTAAATGTTAATTTTGAGTACTTGACAAACGGGGCTTTCTCACTTTCTAATATGTAGCGAAGTCACAGCAAGAACTAAGTCTGACATGCAATATGTCACATAAGCGAAGGATATTCTCCTGAGCAAAGGACTTTCCCTGTTAATCATTATTATATAACGTTAAAGTAGCTCCTTAAAATGATTCGTGCCTTCACGGTGTACAGGTGCCTTCACTGTGTACAAGTGCCTTCACGGTGTACTGTTATTGTTAAAGACCTATATATGGCGAGTTGTAACCCAGCAGCACTGCTCACTAAATGTTAATTTTGAGTACATGACAAACGGGGCTTTCTCACTTTCTAATATGTAGAGAAGTCACAGCAAGAACTAAGTCTGACATGCAATATGTCACATAAGCGAAGGATATTCTCCTGAGCAAAGGACTTTCCCTGTTAATCATTATTATATAACGTTAAAGTAGCTCCTTAAAATGATTCGTGCCTTCACGGTGTACAGGTGCCTTCACGGTGTACAAGTGCCTTCACCGTGTACAAGTGCCTTCACGGTGTACAAGGGCCTTCACGATGTACAAGTGCCTTCACTGTGTACAAGTGCCTTCACGGTGTACACGTGCCTTCTCGGTGTACAAGTGCCTTCACGGTGTACAAGTGCCTTCACCGTGTACAGGTGCCTTCACGGTGTACAAGTGCCTTCACGGTGTTTAGGTGCCTTCACGGTGTACAAGTGCCTTCACCGTGTACAAGTGCCTTCACGGTGTACAGATGCCTTCACGGTGTACAAGTGCCTTCACGGTGTTTAGGTGCCTTCACGGTGTACAAGTGCCTTCACGGTGTATAAGTGCCTTCACGGTGTACAGGTGCCTTCACGGTGTACAAGTGCCTACATGGTGTACAAGTGCCTTCACCGTGTACAAGTGCATTCACGGTATACAAGTGCCTTCACAGTGTATAAGGTGCCTTCACCGTGTACAAGTGCCTTCACGGTGTACAGGTGCCTTCACTGTGTACAAGTGCCTTCACGGTGTACAAGTGCCTTCACCGTGTACAAGTGCCTTCACCGTGTACAGATGCCTTCACGGTGCAAAAGTGCCTTCACGGTGTACAGGAGGCTTCACGGTGTAAAAGAGCCTTCACCGTGTACAAGTGCCTTCACGGTGCACAGGTGCCTTCACCTTGTACAAGTGCCTTCACGGTGTACAAGTGCCTTCCTGGTGTACAAGTGCCTACACGGTGTACAAGTGCCTTCACGGTGTACAAGTGCCTCACCGTGTACAAATGCCTTCATGGTGTACAAATGCCTTCACCGTGTACAAGTGCCTTCACCGTGTACAGGTGCCTTCACGGTGTACAAGTGCCTTCACGGTGTACAAGTGCCTTCACGGTGTACAAGTGCCTTCACGGTGTACAGGTGCCTTCACGGTGTACAAGTGCCTTCATCGTGTACAAGTGTCTTCACGGTGTACAAGTGCCTTCACCGTGTACAAGTGCCTTCACGGTGTACAAGTGCCTTCACGGTGTACAAGTGCCTTCACGGTGTACAAGTGCCTTCACGGTGTACAGGTGCCTTCACGGTGTACAGGTGCCTTCACCTTGTACAAGTGCCTTCACGGTGTACAAGTGCATTCACGGTGTACAAGTGCCTTCACGGTGTACAAGTGCCTTCACTGTGTACAAGTGCTTTCACGGTGAGCAAGTGCCTTCACGGTGTACAAGTGCCTTCACGGTGTACAAGTGCCTTCACCGTGTACAAGTGCCTTCGCCGTGTACAAGTGCCTTCACGGTGTACAAGTGCATTCACGGTGTACAAGTGCCTTCACGGTGTACAGGTGCCTTCACCGTGTACAAGTGCCTTCACGGTGTACAAGTGCCTTCACCGTGTACAAGTGCCTTCACCGTGTACATGTGCCTTCACCGTGGAAAAGTGCCTTCACGGTGTACAAGTGCCTTCACGGTGTACAAGTGCTTTTTCGGTGTACAAGTACCTTCACCGTGTACAGGAACAATCTTCAAACACACAACACTCAATCAAAAGATTGTGAAAAACCTTTAACGATGACTGCTTTTGGAAAGAAACTATCTATAAACTGACATGATTACCTTTGTATTTAAGGATAAATTCAATTTAATTGTGTAAAGCTAAAACAATCGCAAAAAAACAGATATTAACACCAGAATTCTTACACGAATTCATAAAATAAATTGCAACATGTCCCAATATGGAAATCTGCTTAAATTTGTTTATACTATTTAAAGTACGTATTTACATATTTCTTTGTTCATTGTTATGTAATTTTGACAGCTGATGGTAAACCTAGGAAGCAGTTTCAATAGCTCACATTCATTACGCATAGAATTTGCAAAATCCAGTGTCGGGTTGGTAATTGAAGTCACCTAGGTAACATGTTATTGCACAAATGTACATTGGACTTCGTAAACTGCATAAGGTCTAAAACATCTGCATAAGCAATGAAGTATGACCGGATGCCTCTCAGACATCTTATATAAACCAATTAGGGCAACACAAACATTATACTTTATTTCATGTTGACAGTACATTGTTGTATACTACACAAGCAACTTTATCCCCTGATCATTAATATAAAGGGATTTATTAGATCAATAGATCCATTAAGTGCAGCAATGTTATGTTAAATTTGCTTATTAAGAATTATTCTTCAAAAAAAAATCAGAGGTCGGAGGTTGTCGATCCTTGAAATATTTAAGATTCGGTAAGTATCTTTAATAATGATTAAAGCGCCTGTGCGACTTCCTTTTCAAAATAGAAAATGTCAGAGTCCATTGTATTCACATAATTGTGCTCTCAAATCCTGAACTGTTTTAATGTTTTGTGATGAACAGTAACTTGAGATGTTCATCCAGCAATGTCTGTGTTTATTGTTTCAGTATCACCTGGAGGGGTTGAATTGTTTGTCATGGCAATGAGGAATGTACAGTTTACAAACAATGGTGGTGAGATTTACCCCAGATCAGGAAGTCTATTGAGTGTTAGGGACTAGGAAAAACATTCCACTTGACCACTGTGGCTAGGGTCAATGGCACACTATGGTCAGCACAAGATCATTTGTAATTTGTTGTACAATATTGGTATGTGTTGCTCTCATGCCTAGTTACTAGGGACAGGCAAACTACGGTTTACACAAGATTAACCTAAAATTGTGTTTTATACTGTGTTGCACTTATTCACCGTTACCTGCAGTGATGCGTGAATTGATCATACTTCAGTTCCAGTGGAGATTTGTGTGTTCTGCCATGTAGCCATGATACATGTGGGCTGCGACCAAATTGCTGAACTGTATGTATATGGCTACAGTGACTTGTGTTGGCAATTGGAGATGGATTTTGGGTACAGAAATTCCTCATTGTCGCGGCCAGTTATGCCATTATAGATATTGACTGTATCACATGTTCAGTAGTGTATGTTGTTTCTGAACACGAAATTTATAATAAACATGTCTGTACTTTCTTTCTGTGCAAAATACAGAAAGCAACAAGTCCCAAATGGAATAAATACTAGCCACAGTTGTGGTAATGGGTTCAGAAAAAATTGTATCAACTTTTCAGACTTATAAATTAGTATGAGTTCCATATTTCGCCACCCCTCTACTTTTGGCGTTTTCCCCAGCAGCATATGTCTACAGTTAGACTTAACATCCCCGCCGNTAACTCTTGCTAGCAAAATGATATGACCATTTTCTATGACAATGATAAAGTTGTGCTGTACCGAATGAGCTAAAGAGGATTTCTCTCTCAGTCGAGTCAGAAAGAGGTGACAACTACTCCATGTCCAGGAAAGAACTCGTCCCGAGTTTTCCAGAGGTCACAGCAATGCTTGTGAAAGTATCACTTAGCATATTTGTCAATATTTCCTGAGCCCTTTTGTGGGGGCCAATGTAACAGAGGTCAGTAAATTTCAATGCCTCTGCTTGGAGTTAAACTTGGAACCTTTGGTTTACTAGTCTTGCGCTCTATCAAATGAGTTAAGAGGATTACTCCCTTAGTCTAGTTGGTAGAAAGCGGCTAGTATTTTACCAGCGTGACACGAGGGTTACGGAGTTTCCACCCTTCGTAATACACATGTTTTTCTTGTTGTATTTTCGTGTCGTCATTTCCGTATTGCGTATCGGGCATTCCATTACCGTAGTGTAAATTATAGTAACACCGGGTAAACAATAGTACACGTGCGTGATGTGATATGCCAACACCCGATATCTAGACTTAACTTGGAAATGTGTAATCACACGTACTTCAGAAATAAAGCTTATGATACAAAGACATTAATTAACTCACGGGAAAACACTGACATACGATCAGGCGACTTCAAGAAGGTCGTATATGAGGCGCATGGAATGCAGACTGATGTGTTTTGTTTACCGACCTCACCTGTACGTATCACGTGCTAACAGTAGTTCACAAGCTCTTGGTCACTACGACTTTTGTTGTCGAGCGAGTTACGCTCTGTCAGATAAATCGGTTCACAAATGCAATTACAATAACTCTGTGAAAATGGTGGTTAGTAAAATATCAAGATCCCTTTACAATGCAAGTGTATGTGCGTGCACGTGATAACGGCATACCATGCGATAGTCTATGGTTACATATGTACCTGACATGTTAATATACCATGCGTAAGCAGGCTATGGAATGATGTCCAAAGTGTACATGATTGAGAGTAATTTTGTTCCATAAAAGAACAGTAAATTGACAGATAAATATAGTAATTTAATTTGACTTTGTGTGTATTTGGTTCAATTTTTCACTCTTTTCGTATGTAACTATGTGTCCTGTTTGATTTTGGCTTGCATTTAGTAACTTTAATCCATATAGTTTCAATAAAAACGCTTTTTGTAACATGTTGTAGATATTTTAAGATAAATAAAATATTTGTAGGGTTGATTAGCAATGTTTCTTTTCATTATTTTATTGTTCTAATAGTTTTGAACAATGCCACACGCTCAAAAAATGTGAAAGTGTTGAATTTGACAAAAAAATCAATTTTTCGGTATTTTTTACAAATAAATCCCCAGTTTATCGAAATGCTTAGATTTTCATAAAATCATCTCTACATAGTGACATAACCATCATGTGAAACTTTCATTGAATTCTGATGGCTAATTGCGAAAGGGTGGAGCCTCCTTAAATAGAGTTAAATGTGTTAAGATAATTACATGTCCACAGATTCTTATCAGAAATTACTAAAAACAACTATAAATAGTAACTATGACCTTGGCACTCATTTGAGATTATCTCATACTTAATAAATATATATGAAGTTTGATCAATAATTTTCTATATAAATAAAAGGTGACTTTGACCTTGTTAACCGTGAAATATGAACTCATTGAAGTTTTTTAACCAAAAATGTTTTACCAAAATTTGTGCAGGAATAAAGTTTTCCCTAGAGTGCAAGATATGAACATACGTTTACACATTGCAAGTACAAATACATGTTCACAAATGTCAGTACGAACATCCATCCGTATGAAAAGAATGCTATATCTACAAAGGCATAACAAACATACAGAGTAGCCCCTCAGAATGCCAAAATGCAGATGTATGTTTTTATCTGCTCAGCTTTATAACTGTATCTTACTATTGGACTTTGCTTTAAACGTTTTTTTTGTTTTTTTTTTGTATTGTTTGTTATTACTAGTGCTTTATGAACATACCACCCACTCTTGTTAAATGGTTGTAATGAAATGATGTGGCACAGTTCATACACCATGATAAAAGTCCTTGAAACCTGAAATAAGAAAAAAAAATGGTCACTTACGAATAGTCCTGTTGGAGGCTGTTGACACTTGTTCCCAAACAGCTGTGGTTGCCGTGGTTACTAGGACAGAGAAATAACACACTTGGTAAAAAGAACACATGACTACACTTCAGACCTGGTGTCATCTGTTACACCTCCGTATACTACACTTCAGACCTAGTGTCATCTGTTACACTTCCGTATACTGCACTTCAGATCTAGTGTCATCTGTTACACTTCCGTATACTGCACTTCAGATCTAGTGTCATCTGTTACACTTCCGTATACTACACTTCATATCTAGTGTCATCTGTTACACTTCCGTATACTACACTTCATATCTAGTGTCATCTGTTACACTTCCGTATACTGCACTTCAGATCTAGTGTCATCTGTTACACTTCCGTATACTACACTTCATATCTAGTGTCATCTGTTACACTTCCGTATACTACACTTCAGAGCTAGTGTCATCTGGTACACCTCCGTATAATCCTTACCCCGCCTGGCCATGTCCTCACTGTACTTACTCCACAGGTCTCTTACTCTAGCTGTTCTTAGAATGTCAACACTCCTCGAAATAAAACACACAAACATCTTAAAACATCTTAATTCTTCTTCAGCAAGTCAACAGCAAGTTAGGTAAAATTAGTTTTAAAAACAATGTACTACATGTCATTCGAATGGATTTTCCTTCCTTTTTGTTCACAAAAAAGTGCACAAATCTGCAAAATATGCTTTTTTAGTTGTTTTTTCGTATTTGCTCATAAAAGTGACACATTCCTGTGTTGTCTGGCTTTATTCAGTTGATATTAGAATTTGTACTAACACTTTCAATCAAATTAAAAGTCTCTAAATGATAACAATAACCAGTAATTAGTGCTGACTTGTGGTATAATGTAATAGTGACACGGGCTATCCAGCGCTACATCGACTCCCTTCACTACCATACAAAATCAATACCACTCTGTAATTTCCTAACACCAACCTTATTACAGGTAAACACCATTCTATATTTCTACACAAATCCACGATACAAAACAATGTAGACAACATTAATAAACATCTTCAATTTTCCTTGAACTCCTAATAGGTCCACTGTGAGTGACCGGTCAGTGGACAAGTTAACGGATTGTCCATCAGTGACTCACGCTGTCACTGGGCTGTCCCTGTCATACTGGAGACAGCCAGCCTCAGCAGCGGTACTGTAATCTCCGATACAGAGATATCATTATATATCCCCCTCCCCAGTATCAGAAACGTCACCAC